TGCCTTTGTTTTCCTCCCCGAGGAACCCACTAACTCTGCAAATCGTGTGCTAACTCTGGGATTTGGAGGACAGCGGTATGTTTCTCCCTGCTGATGTGGTCAAAAAGCAAGTGTACAGGTCTAAATGGCACATCTGATTGTAGTTCACAGCGAGCAGTTGTCGCTAAAGAAATAGGCCTTAGAGCCAGGCGTGCTGGAAGGAGAGAAGTGACTACCAGGAACCATCGCTGCAGCGTATTTGGATGATGTGAACAACTGCTGGATCCAGTGCGCAGGTTCATGCTCTTCAGGTGAGTTTCCCAGACTGCCTTTCACTGCAAACAGAATGGCTGCGTGGGGTGGGTCATTTGCCGTGCACTTTGGTTTCCTTCTTTTCCGTTGCGTTGAATTCCTGATGGAGGGTCGAAGGAGGAATGATGTCAAATGAAGCTGTTGTGAGCATTTTACTGGTTTGCTGTTTAGTCAGCCGCTCGTTCTATCTAACAAAGCGAGAATATGAAATTTTCCCCATGAAAATGGGCAAGTGGCATACCACAGGCAAAATCTGATTGGGTTTTGAAAATTACTTTAAGCAATCATCCAAACATAAGCTCTATTTTTTGTAGAGGAAATATGAAGATAACTAACGACTGTACTGAAGCGGTAGAAAAGCTTGAGTTTCTACCTGGGAAATTTGAACTGGACCAGTGGTAACTACCAGCTCCGGCAACGGGGCTGCCGAGTAGTGTGTGCCTCCACCAAGGGGCTGCTCACACACTCAAAACGAAAAGCTGCACGGCTGCTGCTGGCATCTTAGCAGGTCTTTTGGCCACAGCACGGTCATGGCATGGAAACAGTTCCTCTCCCTTTCCCTTTTTTGAGCGTTAACCCCCCCAACACGCACACAGAGAAAACAGCAGGATGCTTGGCTGCCAAGGGCTCTCCAGGAGGACGTGGCGCATGTCCCTTGCGAGGCTTTTGCAGCTCTTCCCAGGAGCCGGCTGCCTTTTCTCCAATTTACTGCTTATCCTTCCACTCCTACCCAGTCACACTCCAGTGGTTCGTTTGTAAGCTCGCTTGCCAGGGAACCAAGTCTGCTGATGCCTTTCTTTCATTCCCTTCCCTACAGGGGAACAAAAAGTGTTGTGTTCTACTTTAATGAAGACTGTAGTGACTACTTCTTTTATCTAAACATCTTCATTTCTTTCCCAGTAGAAAAACACTTCAAAAACCTCTATGTGCTTTACTTTCACTTCGTCTTTCCTGAGGAGACAAGAAAGCTCCATATTTAAACATACAGGGAACAAATGGGGATTTATTAATCAAATATTTTCATTTAAATTTCCATTTTATATGGAAAGGCCGTTTTTCTTGGCTCATTAGAATTTTTCAGAGCCTGCTAGTACTTCAGACTTTTACATCTGTTAACCTGAATTCCAGTGGGGTGTGAGCGCTGAACGTAGACACTGCTGATCATCTTGGCACAGGCTGCGCCAGTAGCTCGCGTGCTCGCAGAGGAAGCGGAAATGACAGTGGTCATTCAAAGTGTTTGGCTGTCAGTCCCGCATCAAGGACAGGAAAAAGATCTTGCTTGATAAGGGCACTTTTTATATCTGGTTGTCGCTGTGTGATTGAGGGGCCAAAAATGGCGCTGAGAACCTTTTTGTAGATCTCCCCTGGATTGTTTTCATTGTACTCACAGGCATCCAGATCCTCCCAGGAGTGCTGGTCCTTGATGCTCCAGCGGTCCCCAGACTTCCCGACTGACTTCACAACACAAACACCCCTTGGGGCTTGTTAGGGTCACCTGCTCACTGGTTATGCTGAATGGCCGAGAAACTGTCCTCATCCCTGCGGCAAGTTCATCGTTTTCATCTCTCTCATGCTGAAGTCACAAATATTTTCTCTTGATTCTTCTGACTTGGAGGGGCCGAAGTAAATTGGTTCAGCTCTGATGTGAGCTACTTGCTGAAAACACTTCACCTAATAGTGTTTACAGTCTGTAAATAGGTATTTTCTGACTTTATTTGCGGAAATTCATGAATGCTCACAGGGAATTTCAAAGTCCAAGCAGCCACTTACATAAGTAAAGTTACTTGATAAAAGAGCTTTGCACAACAGCCTTGAGAAATAGGTGATCGCTGGGACATTGAGATATTTTAATTCTATACTGCAGTTAAGTCCCAGTTAGTCTTTCCTGCAGTTAACTGAAGTGAGATCATCACAGCTGGCTCATCCTTCACCTACGGAGGTTTTTCCACCTTGACAGGAGACCATCGACATTGTCTCTCTGATCCTGCAGCAGGATGCAGTGGTTTGGACTGAAATGCTGTGTAACAATCTCCCTCTCTAGCAAATAACATGCGCAAGGACAAGCATGTCGTGATATTTCTTACAACACCTTTCAGCTTTTGATTGGAGCCCTTTCTAAGCCAGATGCTGTATCTCTGTGTTTTATAACTCTCTGTGGGTTTTTTTTTTTCCTAGAATTTGCGATGCCCCTTTTGGAACTAGAACGCAAAGTTTCCTTTCTGAACCAGAGCCTGGTTCAGCCGAGCTCCAGTTACGTGCCACCGTTCTTTGTTGACAATTCCTCGGTGGCCTGCCAAGGGAACAAGTGAGAAGCAGCAGATATGGGAGAGGATGTTAAGGCTACCCTCATTGTGTTAGGGGTTTGTTTTGTTAGGCTGGTTTTTTTTCTCTACCATGATCACATCTGAAAGTTTCAATTAAATTGTGCACTGACTTTTATCAGTGAGGTTTGCTGTGGCTGCTTGGGCAAACTCTTTGCTGTTAAGTCTGATAGTGTTCTTTTGCTTCAAGGTTAAAGTTCAAACAGCTGATGTCTTATTAAGCAGGTGGAGGAAGTTTCTCACCCAGGAAGATTAATTAAAATGAGGAGCCAATTACCTGAATGGAAGGCATGTCAGAGCCAGTTTCTATGTCAGTGTCAGATGTGTTGGGGAGATGTTTGCTGTGCTCTCCTAGGGATTATACACCCCTAAGGGACCAAGTAGTCCTAGTTCAACAGCAGATTAAACTACTTTTGCTTAGTTTTGCTGCTTTTTGCTGATACTGGCACCTCCCACAGCACCCCAGCTCATAAACTGGTCAGCAGTGGGAAGAGAGCCCGTCCTGCTGGAGTAGAGGAGTCTCCAACTCCTGGTGGACTCGTGGGCTGTGGAGCTCCCCAGGACGCATTGGCTGGGCTGCAGCAAGAAGTCGGTGACACCCATTGGGCTTTGGCACGTGGAGGGCACATCCGGGGAGATCCGCAGCGGGTGGCGTGTGAGCAGCTTTGGGATGGGGAGGCAAGAGGAACTTTTAGCCTGAGTGGCAAATAATGACCACTAAAGTAAACGCAGTCCAATACCGTGTGAATATGGCAAACGAACATGTAAGTGGAGAGAGAGAAAGATCAAACTGCGAAGTGTTTTGAAGAGCTCTACTTTTTTTAAGTGAATATAGACGTAAAACGGGGACGCACACACCAATGGTGAAACAGTATTGTTACCTTCAGCAATTTTTTGCAACTTTCCAATATGAAAAGCTTTTGATTTCAGTAAGGTTGAATTCAGCTGCACGTATGAAAATGTTTAGCTGTGGTGCAACGCTTACTGTTTCCTCCTGCTCTGGGATAAATACCTGGGTTTAGCACAGGCGATGCAAACTTTAAATAAATCAAAGTGGACGCGTCCCCAGTTTTGTGCTGGGAGTGCAGAGAAATGTCAGTGTTAAGCCAGTTTGCATTTAAATTGTATCTGACACTGATGTGTGATAAATGCCTCATGGTGTAATTGTCTGTACATTGATATTAATTTCCAGTAATTCCTCCCATGAATATTCTGACCAGCTAGAAAAACGACCCCACGCACACCCTGTACAACTTAATCTGAGATGCCCTCATCTGGGAAAGCAGTTAAAGAGCTGCAAATTTCTTAGTGCTGTCGTTCTCTTTAAATGATTCCTGTGACTGAGCTCACAGCTGGCACCATCCTTCCTGCCTCAGCCCCCGAGATATTCCTCCAAAGATATCTGACAATCGCTTTGAATCTTAAGCATTTTTCTCACTCTTTGCAGAATACTCTGTTCCTAGTTGTTATTTATAAACCAGCAGCAAGGAAGATGGCAGTGGTTTTCAGAGGTATGTGTATATTTAACTTGATGTTATTTGAATTCTTCAGCGTTGCTGAAGAATTAAAAAAATCAAGTCACTCAAAGCCCAAAATTACAGAAGGGAGTGAGGCAGGGCCGTGCTTCTGTTGCGTTGCATTTCTTCCTCTTGGTGCACCACAAATTTTAAGTCAAGATTCAATCAAGAAGCCTCAACTGAGTCTGTAAACACTTTGGATGAGCATCATCTCTTTGATAAGCTAGTTTTATTTCTAGCTAATGAGCACATCTGACTTGGTACCATTTGAAGAATAACTAGCTCTCTGGCTTGTGGAGGTGGAATGATCTCAAAAAGCAGGAGTCATTTGCCTGTGGATGTATTAGATGCCTGAGCTGCGTGGCATCTGGGTCCCTGCAACTTGAGTTGGTATCCAGGATTTTAATAGAAATAACTGGAAACCTGCTTCTCTCATGTCCTAAATGCCAGTCCAGGCTGGGACTTGCTTTTATAAACCACCTAAATCAGGAATTTGTGTTTTGGACATAAACAGTATCTTTCTTGTTTCAGTCACCTGGATATTTTGGATGATAAAGGCATACACAAGAGACGACAGTACGTTCCTCTTAGTGCAGGTTTATGTCATGCTTGCTGTACCTACGTATTTCTCTTCTTGCTGATTCATTTTCTTTTTTTGCCATATTTTATTCCATTTTGTTCTAGGTTGGCCTTGGCCACATGAAATAAAATGCAGTGCTGAAGTTCAGTATGACACACAGTCGGTGTATTTTTGTTGGTATGTAGGTAAGTCAAATCCTGACGAGGTCCCATATTAATGATTTACAGACTAAAATACAGAGCTTAAAAGAGAGGGGAGTAGGAATGAACTAACTCTGTGAGATCTGAAAACATGTCTGGAAAACTAGTTTGCATTGCTGATTTTGAAGAGTATGCTAAAAAATTCCTCCCCAAATCAGTGTATGATTATTACCGATCCGGAGCAGATGACCAGGAAACGCTAGCAGATAATGTAGCAGCATTTTCAAGGTAGGAGGGTGATTAAGGCTGGAGTGGGAGGGGGGGGAATTGTAAATTCTGCATTATTCATAGATGTGGTGCAAAATTAGATTTTTCTGTGTGAACAAAACTCCATTTTTATGAAACTTTTTGGGGTTTTATCAAAAAGACTCAAATAATTCCTTTTTGGAACACCTGTCTCTCCCCTTTCACTCCTCCACCTAACATTTTCTGTCAAAAAAGCAGTCCTTAAAATCCATTAGCATCTTTTTAGCTTTACCTGCGTTTTATTTCTTTTGTTAACATAAAGTCTCTAAAGAGTCCATCAGCTCCAATATTTAATCAGCTGATGAAACTGTTATTTCTGCTTTTTTGGGCTATCATGCAGGCAAGAAGTTCTTGTGGTGAAGTGTTGTACATTTTAGGTCCTTAGTCAGTTTTGTTCCTCCTAAACTGAATTAGTTACATGGCCTTCCCTGGTAAGTGCTTGCGCAGCATCTCTAGGTCCAGCTCTGACCTGAGCCTAGCAGAAAGGAGTTGTACCTCCCAGCTCTGCAGCGAGCCGTGAAAGCCAGGGCTCAGTGCTGGGTGGCCAAGCCAAGCTCAGGGAATTTCCAGCAGAAGGTCAGCACTTCACCAGGACATACTGTAAATGATGGGAACTATTATAAACCAGTTTTCACTTAGACTGGCCCCCTGAACTGCTGTCAAAACCTGAACTCGGGTCACCCTCCGCCTCAGAAGTACAAGGTCAACACAAAGTCGGTTGGCATTTGCTGTCAGCTTCAGTGGGAGAGTGTCAAAACTCGTGTCAAGTCAGTTGGTTCCCCATGCCCTGAATCTCTGTCCCCCAGAGCATCGGCCCAAGCGCTGCAGAGGAGAGAAGGCGGCTGGAGGCTGATCGCCTCTGCCCGGCTGAGCCCAGTCGAACTGCTTAAACAGCTGTTGGCTTCTCTTTCCTTCGAGGGCTGTGTTGGTGCAGACATTTAACCTCCCTGCACTTGTCTTTGCTAATCTCTAACGGCTTTGTCTGTAATCCTTCTGAGTCTAACAAACCAAAACAAGATTTTTTCCAGTTTATCTTTGGTCTTTCTCCCTTCCTGCTTTGCTTTTCTGCTGTAGAGCAGCAATCCCGGCTACTGCTCCAGTTGCCTTTCCGCAGGCTATGAGCAATTCAGCTGGAAATCCCATGAAACTCTAAGGCTGTAGGAAACTCGGTGGTAATTCATTTAGTAGGATCTCAAAGGTCAGATCACAGAAACCAGATCAGAATCTTAATTTTAGGGACGTGTATAGAAAAGCTTTGTAATGTCAGGAGAAGAAGAAAACTAACCTCTGCCGTGACCACTTATTCCAGACCTCTTAGCTCCATCCGGAAGCCCCCATCATGGACTGGGGCTGCTCAAACACCAGCCAAAGGACTGCTCTGGCTCCAAGGAGTAAAAAGGAGCAGGAGGGGATGTAGTAGTGCTCATCTAATTATTTCTTTTTAATCTTATGTTTTAATACTTCCAGTTGCTATGATGTTATTTGCCCTCACGAAACCAAAATGAGATATTGAGGTAAGGACACTCAAAGGAAGTGCTCAGAGGGAATAAACTGTAGAAGTAGTGAACTTTTTACTAACTGCTAGAGCTAATCATGATTAAGCAAAAGTTGGATCTAAACTGCCCAGAGACAGGCCAACAAACCTGGGTATGTTCACTTGCTGTTTTGGTATTAGCTGAGCTAGGTGTTAGTGGTAAGAGCAGCTCTGCTTTGAAGCTGTTTCCCACTGCAGGGGCAGACTCCTCTGATAAGACCTCCTCGCACTGGGCTGGTCACCTGTGGGGTTCAGGCTCACCTCCTCTTTCCTGGCATCTTCTATCTTATTTTCAATAAGAGCCTCCAGTTTTAGGCATTCAAAACTGCGGAGCTTGCAGGCAACCTGGAACTGAAGGACATGATTAGCAGTGCAGCTAATACAGCCTGAGATGTTAAAAAAATGCAGTAAATTAAATTTGCTAGGTCCTGGTGCAGCTAAAAGGCCCTCAGTGCTGGGTTCCTGCTCCTCAGCACTGAAGGTATGAAGGGGATGGAAGCTGTGTTTCTGTCTTTGCTCCCCCTCCCTTTGTATATTTGTCTTAAAGAAAACAAGATCTCATTTCCACAGTAGCTTTAGGTCATTTAAATGTCTTCCAAAAAGGCAGTTAATGAAATCTGAACAACTTGACAATGGGGTTTATTAAATCATCAAACAGAACTTGTTGACAGCCCGAGAGAGGTCACAGGGCAGAAGTATTGCAGTCAAAGCTTTGCTTGTTACCTTTCCATCACTCTACATCTCTCTCTGGGTGTCCACCAAAGCACAGAAAAGTGTGGTGATGTGCTGATGGTGTCAGAACCTGAACCCCAGCTCCCCTGATGAAGCACGTGGTTCCCTCCTTTCTGGTCACTGCAGCGCCAGCACGGCTCTTCCTGCGAGGATGAGCATCGTGTCTGAAGTCATCTGCTGGGGCTTACCAGCTTTACCTCTATGAAGTGGAAAGGACAAAGGGCTGGAGTGTGGATACAGCGTTTTACAGCTTCATGGACAAATGTGCTCTTTATCTGTCCATAGCAAGAGGGAGATGATAGTAAAGGTGGTCAGAGTTAAAAGCAGCCCTTATGTAGCACTGAAAAACGTAAGTTAAATCATTCTCCACGTTTCTAGTGCCTTCCTGCACCTATTTGCAAACAAATATTTCAGTTAGGGAGCGTGCACTTGCTGCCTGCAGCCAGATGGACCTTCCTCCCTGCAAAGGTGACCCCTTTAATGGGCTCTTGAACCTTTTTGGAGGCACATTGAGCACAAGGCCCTGTGTGCTCCATCTCGATAGCTGCGGTGGTTCCCGCTTGTCGCTGCTGAGGTGGATTCCTACTTCCAGTTTATTAGACTGTGTTTGCAATGGCTTCCTGGCAACACATCTAGAAAAGGTAGAAACCTGGTACAAAGACTTCACAATGCTTTGGTTTATAAGACCTGTTTGGCACAAACAACTTTTAAAATCTTTTTTTTTTCTTTGCTGTTGGGAGAAACATGGACTAATTGCTAAGGATGCAATACTGCTGCCCACTCTGATTCTCACACAGTCCTTGTGTGTCTCTGAGCATGTTACTGGTTTTTCTGCCTGTTCCTGAGCACAGCTTGTGGGTAAATATAAAGTAAGATGGACTTTACACCCCCTGAGCCACAAAGATCACAAAGTCAGATGACTTTGTGAAAGAAATGAGTATGTTCAGCTTCATTTACCATGGCCAGAGAACTCCCATCGATTTCCACTCTCAGAAGCTTAGTTGCATGGTTCAGCCTGATTAAAAACGTTTACAGTTTATTTAAATCTTTATAGATCTGTGTATAAATGTTTATGTTTAAATGGAAGAGAAGAAAGCACAAAACTGAACCAGAAGCTTGAATTGTTAGCCCATACTAGGAAGGATTGTATTTGGAGAAAAATAAGTGTTAGGTTTGTGAGCTCTTTATTTTTTTTGCAATTGAATGGAGAAATAAATAGATTATTATTAAGGACTGATCTATCAAAGGAATGGTAGTTTCAATAGATACTGGAATACCTTTGGAACGGCCCATGCAATTTTTGGAGCAGTACAATCCATACCCATTAGATTATAAAACAAATGTCCTGGCCTTTTTGACAGCACAGGATCTTGAAGTACTTTGGACCTTTACTCAGATACCAGAGCATAGAACGTCTCCAAAAGGCCAGGGTTTAAGATGGGGTTAACACCAGGTACAGTGACTCTCCTCTAGCTTCCAGTTCTTCTGTGACCGAGGTTGCAATGGAGAACCGGAGCTTGTGTTTCAGCATCAGTGTGTTCCCGCTACTGCCAGATAATTATTTTTTTATTCATGGTTTTCAAATGATGTGGAGATGACACTAGCGTAAATGAGGCATTAAGGCCAGGGAAGATAATTTGGGATGTCAGAGCATACATTGCTCCCTATGGTGACTGCATTCACCTTGCATTTGCTCTGCGTCCCAAAACACTGTGCGTCCTTCTAGCACTGTGCTGCCTGGCAATTAAATTTCCTCTCAAGTTGTCAAGGAACCGAGGGGCCTGAATGGAGAATAGATTTTATGACAAGGTCAGAGCGCCTTTAGCTTGACGGCATGCAAGTAATCAATCTGAAATCTCCCCTTTCGGCATTTTAATGAAGAGGGACGTCTGTGTGTGTAGGAACAAGTTTCTGCTAATCCGTCGTGACATGTTCTGCCACTGACTCCCCGGCGGCCTTTGGAGAAGATGCGTTTTGTTGTCGTGTACGAGGAACAGCAGTCGCTTGTTCATCAGTGGCAGCATCGAAGCATATTTTTCTGCAGATGTATTGTCATCTTGTAGCTAGGTATGAAGGGTGTTAAAATGACTGGGCATATAAATAATATAAATATTGGTTAAAAAAGCAAGGCTGAGAATGTGATTGGGGTCAAACAAGCATGTGAAGTTTTGGGGGGGGAAGGAAAGGAATGCTTGTAATAATCGGTTATGTTTCTGCGATGTCTTTCACCTTGGATTTGCAGAGTGCTGTGAAAAGAGTTGCTGTGTGGATGGCAAGGATTCCTGGGGGAGAAAATAGATTTTCCTCAAGCAAAAGCAGGTGTTGCTTAGCCTTGCACGGTACCAGTGCCTGCCCCTTGTGCTGGGAAGTGGAGCTGTAGAGGAGATTAAAGTGGCAAAGTGGGTTGGAGTTGGGATGGAGACTGCCTGAATGGTGTGTCCTTGCCCAGGCGTACTGCTTCCAATGCAGCACGAAGAGATTATTTAGCATGGACTTGGAAAGGAAACAAGAGCTGCTTCAAAATGTATTGCAGTCTGAAGATTTCAGCATTTTTCACAGCTGAAAATGAGTGGGGGAAGACAGTGAGTGCTTCCCTTTTACCCAAATGCAAGATAACTTACATTCTGAAATTTTTGAACATAGAAAAGGAGAAAAAAAACAAACAAACAAACCTGCTAATCTCCCCTCCTTTCCTTTCATCCTTCTTTCAAAAAGCTGAAGTTGCCTAAATCAGGAATGCTCACTGCCTTCCCCACTGCGGCATCTCCCTGCTTCCAGCTGGGAAGAAAGATGCACTCACTTGCAATTGCTGATTGCAGCATGTGAGTGTGGACTTGGCTGGAACAAAACGTGGGTGATGAGAAGATGAATAAAAAAAAAAAATATAGACAAGGTTTTTACTAAATAATATCCAGGAAATCTTTTCACTCAAAGATGTGGAGGAAGCAGGTGGTGTGTGGCAGCCTGATGAATACACATGCTCTGGTTACTGGGAAATACTGCTCTTGGGTTTTGCTTGCTGCTGCTAAGGGCATTTCCCTATGGCTTGTCCAGAAAACGCCTCAATTGAAGTGTCTGGCAAACTCACAGCTGAAAACATCCATGTTTGCAAAGCCAGATCAGGTTTTATTTAAAGAGTATACTATGAAGTTAGTGAGCCCATTTGGTGTTTTTTTGTGGGACCCAGTAAGCGCTCAGTTCTGAGTGTTGATTTGACATTGGTCTAGAGCATGCGACTTGATAAGGTGCGAGGGGAAGAAAAGCCTCAGAAGGCATCGGAGGAGATATTTATGTTTAGAGTCTGGGGCTCATGAGCCTAAGCACCCCAAAAAGCTCATGGATGGAGTAATTTGGTACAGAAAGGTGAGTGGGAGGGAGGCTGCTAACTGCTGCTTGAAAAAGCATTGTTTTTTCTTGCCTACACCGTTGGGAGGATTTTTGCTCTTTCTGTTTCTTTTCCCAAGCTAAAAGCACTACAGAAACGTCAGTACTTCAGGCCAGACCCCCGTGCGTGTGCTTCGAGATGGCAGTCCTTTGTACTGGTAAAAATCTGGCAGGTCTGGGACAGCAGAGGAACTAGGAGGCTGGGGAAGAGGGAGATACTTCACACACTTATGCTTTAGAGTTTGACCGTAAAATTGAGCAAGGTTATTAAATGATTTTTGTTTTCTTTATATTTGCTGGGAAAAGATGTCTCAGAGCTGGGAGAAAGCCTTTGGAATGAGAATTAGGAAGAAGGGGGGAGAATCAAGTCATGTTTTCTTTGTCCCACCCTCAGCCCATTCTCCCCTGAAAAATAACAAACCAATACAATAGCACAAAAACAAGTCTGAGGAGACATACTTGCAGTGTGTGTCTTGGCAATGAATAACACAGCTGACTCCCACAACTACAGGTCTCCTTCCAAGCATCATAACTATCCTTCTCCCTGGGGAGCGCTTCCTGGAGAGCTGGCATGACCCAGTGCTCTAGGGCTGCAGAAATTTGGGTCTCATCCTGGCTCTGTCCCAGGCTTCTTATGGAAATGTCTCTTGATCTTTCTATAAAATGAAGAGACACTGTCTTTTTTTCCTAACCTGTCAGCTTAATATGCAAGCTCAAGCTGACCACTACTTGCTGTCAGAGCATAGTCTGAGGGTAACAGTGACTCTGCTTGCTATCTCCTTGCTAATAATAATAATAATATCACTTTCAGGCTTTCTAGTGCTGATCAGGTAGTCATGTTCAGCATGTTTAAGCTTTTAATTATATTCTGTAATTAAAATTCAATCGCCATCAGAGACCTTTCAGAGGGAGGGATGCCTTAGTGAGAGGTTGATGTGTATCCTACTACCGCTTGCAGAGAGCCTTTGGCCTTGCTCAGCGCACACGGGTGAGGAGAGCCAGCCCCTGCTAATGCACACCCTCTTGTGGCTTGTAGTAACCCTGGCGTTGCTGCAACACCCCCCCGGGTGGTGAGGGAAAGTCCCATTTCACAGGTATCCCCAGGAATGCAACCCCATTAATAAAAGTTGGGATATTGCAGTGTCATCTAGTTGACCCCATAAGAGAGACCACGATCCTATTGTGTGTGGGGAAAAAAAAAAAGATAAAATTCTGCATGTGCAAACACATGGTGTCCAGCCTGACTGCAATAAATTGTAATTTCAGATTAAGTGTGGTTTAGTTTGCTCTGTTTTGGAGTCAGCTTCCATTTGTACCCAGACTGACGACCCCAGCGGAGAATAAAGCCCGGCTCTGGGCTGATGTGGTTTCTGGCAGACAAGTTGAAGGCAAAGCAAGGTCAGGAACGGTTGAGCGGATGCTGGGCCACGTCATCCAAGGACTAGATTATAATTTGCCCTATTGAGAAAGCAGTTGTACTACTTGATCTTTTCCTGCACCAAATTACAGTGGGCGCATTTGGTCTTTTCCTGGAAGTCTGGAGTCCCTGTGGTATGATGGGCTGTTCCTGGGGCTGCAGCTGTAGCCCCAGGGACTACGTGTTGCACAGCAGCCAGTGCCTGCTGGGGACGGGACCTCTCTGAGCAAAGCGACTCAGTCTCTGTGCCAGCAGAGGTGCGGTGCGGTGGATTTCTGCACCCTCCCAAGCTGAGCAAAGCCAGGGCAGCTGTTCTGCCCACCTACTTTCTGTGGGAAGAAGCGTGGCAGCTTGATTCTGTGTAGTCTCGCTGCAGAGACACATAGCATGGGGATGGGGAGGGCTAAGCATGCTGGCCCAGGCTAGTTTTATCCAAAAATGCTGTCTTTTGGCTCCCTAGTGCATAGAAGGAATAACTGAGGTGAGCTGATGACTTCTCCTGGTCCTGCACACCCTCTGTCATCTAGTTCTGCCCCAAGGCTTTTGAGGCAGCTGAGAGTCCTTGTGAACCTTATTATTTTGCAGCTCCTGTCTTTTCTTTCAAACAATACCAGCCAATAA